GGCGTCCTCGCCCGCTCCCTGCACGGTGCCCGGAGGCGGAGGAGGCCCCCAGCCGTCCCCTGGGAACCCGCCGAGCGATGGGGACCGCCCTCACCTCCGGCCAGTACAGCACCACCTCTCGCTTGTCCAAAAGCGTTTTAATTTTTGAACAATATTTGTCTTAGAAGAATTCCATAAAGTTAGGCAAATCTGGAGTCTAATTTTGGGGGGCCTTAAGTCGGAGGGCTGGGGGGTCAAGAAGCCCACACGGCGAGCGTGAGCTCACTGCCTGCGGAACGGCCTTGGGGAACCTGACCCAGGGCCCGAGGTTCTTCCGTCCCGAAATCCGCCTCCCACTGCGTTTGAGAAAACATTGGCGAGTGTCTGGGCCGATGACCATAAGGCATTCGGCACTGCAACCCCAGGAAGCAATTCCTCACCCTCACGGCCAGCACAGGGCCTGGGCTGCTCGCCACAGAAGGTTCTAGACCTCGGACTTCTGCCCCACCTGCCAGCCGTGGGGCCCGGGCCCCGAGGCGCGGCGCCTTTAAGGGCCCCGCCCACCCACGCAGGGGACCAGCCCGTCGCTTGGCAACAGGACGCCGCGCGGACCCTCGTGGTCCCGCGGGCTGAGAGGCTGTTTCGTGCCTGCTCTTTCTTGTCCCCGAAGCTCGCGTGGACGGAGGCGAGATGTCCGAGGAGAACCCCCAGGTGTGCGCGGAGCCGGAGGAGGCCAAGGCCGAGGCCCCCCCCGGAGAAAACCAGTGACTACTACCGCGTGAGCGAGGACCTGCCGGCCAGGTTCAACCACCCGGCGTGGTTTCGGGGCTACAGGTGAGCGCGAGGGAGTCCGGTCAGGGTCCACCCGGCATGCAAAGAGGAAAGAAAGGCCGCCAGTCCAGCTGACCGATGCCCAGCTGGCCCTGCGCGCTGCTAGATAGCCCGGTGTGCAAGAGACCCCGGGCCCCAGCCTGGCCCCAAGTCAAAGCGGGGTCCCCCGTCAACCATCAAAGGGGCGCAGAAGTGCTGCCTGAAGCTTCCCACCCCTCGGTGGGGTGACACGGGGCAGGGCGTGCCCCAGGGGAAATCCCACGGCCCGGGCTGAGCCCAGCCGCACCCTCGGGGCGGGTGGCGTCCCCTCTCCTCTCTAGGCTGAGAGGACGCGTCTGCCGGAGGTGGGGCTGGGGCTTCGGCGGCGCGTCCATCACCAGGCTGCTGAGGGGCGAGGCCTGCGAGCTTTCCTGCGCCGCAGCCTCTGAGACCCCGCCGGCGGCGCCTTCCCTGCCCCTCGCTTAGTGCCTCCACCGGCCTGTGCACTTGGCTCTGTTATCATCCCCATTTCCCAGGAGAGACAGCTGGGGTGCAGAAAGATAGTGCCTTGCCCGAGAGCACGCAGTTAGTACGGGCCAAAGCTGGGATGTCTGAACCCCCCGCCGCTCTGTAAAACTTCATCCTGGAGGCTCAGAAGTAGGAGGGACCCTCCCCTTGGGGGCGGCCCCTCCGCTCCCAGCCCGCCCACCCACCCGGGAAACGACGGCCTGGGCCCAGGCCCCGCCAGGGCTGAGGGCCAGCGTTTGCCACCTGGGATGTCCGCGGGGCTTTGGCAGAGCTCAGCAGGGGCGGGGCCCGGGAGGCTGAGCCTGCCAGGGAGGCCAGCTTCGCGCTCCGCAGGAGCCCAGGTTCACCGCGGCATCACTAACCCGGGGCATTTCCAACAAGGCTCCATGGACCCAATATGTGAAAGCTGTGGCTTGGGCAGAATTTAGAGTAAGTGAGTGGAAAATAAAGTATGTTTCTCATCTGCCAGGGCCAAGGAGCCCCCCTCCGTGTACAGGACCAGTAACCAAGCTTACGGGAGCAGAGCCCCCACGGTGCATGAGATGCCGGTAAGCAGGAAGCAAAGAACGGTGCGAGTGCTCGTGTGTGTAGGTGGGGCGTCTCTAGAAGGAGGCGGAAACTCCGAAAGTCTCAAAAGGGCAGCACAGCGTGGAGGGAGGAGGTGCGGAGGGGCTCAGAGTTCCGACATCGCAAAGTGAAAAGGATCCCGCAAATCCTTTTGCAACAGGGGAGGGTAGAAATAAATGAGTGAATGAATTTAGCAATGAAACATTGAAAGGGTGAAAAAAGGGCGTGTACTGCTTTGTCTCCAAAATAAGCCACCTAAATTAAAAAAAAGAGAGAGAGAGAGAAAGAAAAAATTGCATGTAGACTTGCTTACGACATCCCAAAGGCCTGGCCCCATTCACTCATACAACCAACCAACTCTTGCAACCTAAAGCAGTAAGTTTTGAGGCAAGTAAACGAAGAACTGCTTTCTTTTTGGAATAATACCTTGTTTTATTAGCTATTAGCTTGCCGCCTTAAGAGGTAGCACTGGCTGACCAAAGCACCAGTTACAGAAGGACGCAGGGATCTGTGTGCCTTTGGGGAACCCGACCCCTTTTTGAGATCGACCTCTCACTGCAGAGGGCGTCCTGGAACCCCCTGATGCCCCCGCTGGGTCCAGGAGAAGGGCAGAGGGACCAGCATAAGCATCCCCTGGGTACTCAAGACAGCAGGGCCACCCATTTTGGGGTGGCCGTGTTTTTCCTCTTAGAATACTCCTCATTTAGAAGATCTGGATATTAACTTATTTAATTGCTGTGCATGGGAGGTAGGGCTCTGACGAGAAGGTTACTTACCTAGGAGCTTTCTAGAGCACTTCAGGACCCCTCTCCGGAATCAGGCGGCTCCAAGTTTCCCCAGAGATCAGCTGTTTCCATGAAAATGACAGAGGACTCACCAACATAGGCCCGAATGTTTTGCTTTTCATAAAAAAGGCACTGGCTGGCTCGCGAGGCTCTGTGACGCGTAGCACCAGGTTCTCAGGAGGCGAGCGTGGGAGGAGTTGCTCCTGCTCCTTATCAGCCTGCTTTGTCTGGAGCTTGGTGTGCAGTTTCCTGACCTGGACGTGGCCTCTGGACTCACTGAGCCGCCCTCAGTGTGGACTTCCCATGTGGGAATAGAAAACAAAAATGCTTTCTTTGCATTTTAGAAAACACACCAAAGGAAGCTATTCTTTGTGACGCCGTGATGGCGGGCACACATCATTCACCACCCGCTTGTCAAAGCCCAGAACGCACAGCACAGAAGGCGGACCCAGACGTAGGCTCTGGGCTTCAGTGAGCAATGACCTGTCGGGACTGGCTCAGCTGTTGTGGGCGCACCAGGCTGATGCGAGGCTTCCCCGTGTGTCCTGGAGAGGAGGTGGTGTGGGAAGTCCGTGTGCCCTGCTCAGGTTCTCTGTGGACCCAGAACTGCCCTGAAAAACAAACCCTATTAAACGATGCTCTGAAGCCCTTTCTCTTTGCACTTGCTTCCTGCCAAAGAGATAAAATGTCAAGTGACCCCTTGACACAAGGATGGCCGAGAACAGGTCACCTGTCCCGGGCGTACTGCCTGGCAGTGGTCCAGGCCACTGACGTCAGAAACCTCAAGGTCACCTGAGGATGCTGTCTTGCCGGAACGATTCCTACCCTTGGGTGCCGCACACGCCGGCGGCCTCGCCTCGCTACGGCAGCCCTGCCCAGCCCCCTTGGCTGGTGGGGTGTGGGCATCAGGGTCATTTCAAAGTTCCGCAAGGGATTCCAACACGCAGGCAAGGCTGAAGCCCACCGACGTTGGCTCTTTTCCACAGAAGGGAAGCTCCAGCGCAGAGCGGCCCAGTGACTGGCCCCAGCAGCACAGCCGGCAAGCGCAGACCCGGGAGCCGCACGGGCCTGACCCGGGTGCCAGGCCCAGGCGCGGCAGTGCCTCGCCCGGGGGGCCGCAGTGGACCCTCCTGTCCACGTCCTAGTGGAAGGAGGTACTGGTAGTACTTACTGCCTGGCATGAGGCGTGAATTGGGAAGGTCAGGGGCAACCTGGGCCAGCCTGCCCACCCTGGCTTCTCCGCTCCTTAGGGATAGAGACTTTTTCTTACAAATTCTTATTCTTCTTCCAAAAATGCCTCATGACTGACTGCTCCAGAGCGCTACCATGCATCACTAATCCGTGTTCCCTTTTCACTTCCAGAAGGTATTTTATCCAAATTCGCATAGATTTTCTAAACAACTTGCAGCTGGTGGAATGTTCCAGAACAATACTTTCAACGTGTACATGGAGAAGAGCATCGTGACAGGTCCCGACAACTACATCACCTCCTTCGACCGGTTCAACTTCCACCCCAGCTACCGGGCCAACAAGCCGTCCACCTGCGACTGAGGGGCAGCGGCAGGAGGCCCTCCGTCCAGGGCCCTCCAGGTGCCGGTGGTGATGGTCTGGACAGTCGCCAGCCCTAGTCTTTGATAATCTGCCCAGTTGTAAAGGGACACACTTTACTCTTCCCCTGCAAATACAGTATTTTTCCTCTCTAGGTTAGAAAACCATGCCACCAGGGCTGTGGTGCCCCCCACCCCGTTTTACATCTAACATGGATCAGATCTTGCCTTCCCATTAAAGGCCTTGCCACATTTGCTCTGGATTCCCGAGTCATCTGTAATCAAGGAACAGGGAGGTGGGTGTCCTGGGACCCCAGTCTCGGCCTGAATGCTGGGAATGTCCAGATAGCCCTCCCTGTGTCTTTATTTGAGAGCCATTTTTTTTGCTTTTTGTTTTTAATTAAAAGAAATTGAGGGAGAGTGTAGCTCAGTGGTAAAGTGTATGCTTCGCATGCAGTAAGTCCTGGGTCCAATCCCCAGTACCTCCATTAAAAAACCCCCCAAAACCTAATTATCCCCTCCAAAAAAATAAAAAAATTTAAATACAAAATCTTTTTTATGGCGTTCCTGGGGATTGAACTCAGGACCTCGTGTATGCTAAGCATGCGTTCTACTCTCCACCCGTCCTCCCGGGATCCATTTACATACTCGTGACAAGTTACAGAACAGATTTTCTGTTCTCAGGCATCCTGCCAGGCCATGGAGGGAGGGGAGGATGCCCAGCCCGGGGTGTGGACGAGAGCTGGGCAGGGAAGCAGAGCAGACCCCGAGAGGGCAGTTCCAGGTGGGAGCAGGCGGGGGGCCCTTGCTGGCCCTGACCCAGAGGCCACGCTTGGAGTCGGACTGACCGTCCTCTGGCCACAGATGAGGGCCGGGGCGGAGGCGGGACAGACAGACGAGGTTGGCGAGGGGTGATGTGTGCCTGGCGGGGGTGGGGTGACGGTGATGGTGGTTCTCCACTTGGTGTTCAGCTTACATTTTCAATAAAGAGTTAACAGCAGGCAGGGAAGAATACATCTTTCTCAAGTAGGGGTAATAACTGTGTTAAGGGGACATTCCTCTCTGTGTAGTCAGTTCTCAGCCAGTGTTTGCTGTGATGGAGAGACCCCTCTGCACGGGGACGTTCTCCACGACAGAATGCGTCCTCCAGCATCTTCCAGATGCAGACACTGCCCCCCCTTGCTGTGTGGGAGCAGGGCCTGCTCGTCGCAGGAGACCTGGAAAGAGCTGGAGCCAGACAGAAGTCGCTGCCACAGACCATCGACGCCACCTTGTCCACAAAGACTTTGACCTGAAGAGATTTTACTCACATAAGGATTTGGGAAGAAATTCAATGCCATGACTGATTGTTTCTTCATTAAAAACTTTTGATTATTGTTTCACAAAAGTCAACATTTTGGCAACACTCTTTTTAGGTTTAAAAAAAATTATTGTTAATCTCTTTTTGGTACATTTTTATTTATTTTTAAATTAACTTCTATTTTTTTTTAAATGGAGGTTCTGGGGATTGAACGCAGGACCTCATGCATGCAGGCAACATTCTTAACGTTCAGTTTGGAGTGGAAATGGTTTCCAGGAAAAATCAATATATTGAGCAGAAAACACAAAGCTGAGCCTGAAGCCAGGATTGTGTAACATCCAGCTTCTCAGCTGGAAAGTCAGCGGAGACACTGGGGGTCGAGCTGCAAATTAGTGTTTACAAGCTTTCATTAGAAATAGCAAAATACTAAGAATGCTTCTGTATTTAGACTCAAATAAAACAAGAAAGAGAACACCCGATCGACCCAGTTTCTAAACTTAAGGAAAAGGAAGGAATTCCTTCCCCTGCGGCCGGTGGCAAGGTGCCGGTTTTCCCGGTGAGGCTAAAGCCAGCATGCGAAGTGGCTTTCCCCTCCAACCTCGGCCCCGGTGCGTCCGCACCCCTGTAACAAGGCGGCGTCGCCCAGCCACACGCGTGTGCGAGGGACCGCGGGGCTGGCTCTCAGCGGGTGGCCGTGTCGGGGCGCAGGCTCGGAGGACCAGTCGACACATCCGTGGACAGAACAGACGCCAGTTAATCTGGCAGCACAATCAGGACGTGCGTTAGTTAACTGTCATGGCCAATAACTAGTATTTCTGTAACAGGTGTTAATGAGTCCGTGTGAAGTTAAACTCTGTACACGGAATAAACAGAAAGGCAGAATACAGAAATTGCTTTGGTGTAACGTGCATGCCCGTCCTCCTGAAAACTCACCGTCTCCAGCCCAGGCTCCTAATTCCCGTTTCCGGCACCTGGGCCCCGCGAGCTGCTGGCCGGCTGTGCCCCCGCCGGCCTGTCTGATGTCTCGCGGGGTCCCGAGGGCTTTGCCGGTGTCGCCTCGTCTGATGCTCATGCCTGGGGGCAAGCCTGACTCCTGTGCCTCCGTTTTCAGATGGAAAATTAGGGCCCAGAGGAGGCGCCCTGAGGTGCTGGGAGGGGCTGGGTGACCCCCAGACCCACCCTCACTCTCTGCACGAGTCACACAGGAACTCCGGTGGTGATGCACTTGGTGAAACTGGTCTTTTTAAACATACTGTCAAACTGGCACCTTTGTGTCGAGGGAAGGTGAAGTTTAGATGCACAGGTCTGATGGAACGGTCCAGGAACGTGCCTTCTGCTCGGGGTTAGAGCACATGGAGCGATGGGTGAACAGTGGGAGGGACGCGGCAGCCAGCGTTTTTCTGACCTCTGTACTGAGTCTTCCCAAAGCTCAAATCCAGTCAGAATAACTACGGAAGAGGTGATCGGAACACAGAGGGAGACAGAAACCAGTTTCCGCGGGTGGTACGACAAACCGCACGGCAGTTCCCGAAAGCCGGTTTCTCCGCCCGCCGCCGCCGGCCTAGGCGTCATCCGCCTTTTTGTTCCGCTCTGAAGCGAAACGTCGACCAAGAGACGTTCCTAACACTTCACCAGTCACGTCATTTAGCTGCTGAGTCGAACGAAACCCAGTAACTACTTACTCTAAAGGTGCAGTTTCACTTGTGTATTTTTCCTCAGTGACATTTCAGCTTTTGCTTCCAATTAGAATAAACGGTTCCAAGTACAGAGCGAAATGTGCTGCCATTGGCAGGGGGAGTCCCCTACGTCCAACACACAGAGCGCCAGAAACCTCAAGAGTTTCTGCAGACAATGTGTGTCTCCCCGTCCGCAGCAGCCTTGCCTGGTTCACACCCGACTGCGGTTACTGGGGTGGTTGGTAGAGGAGCTTGCTCCCCCTCTAAACGGGCCCGTAATTAACTTCAAGGAGAGAGACGCGACATCGAGGGGGCAATGCTGTGTACAGGGCAGATAAAGCGCTAGTGTTTGGACTGAGTGCCTGGTTCCCCGGCCTGAGTGTGTCTCGGCTGGGGAAACCCTGCGGAAGACAGGTCCGGAGCAGCAGTCAGGAGTGACTCTTCCCTTTCGAAGCCCCGGTCCTCCCTCCCTCCCCGGAGGACTAGACAGCCCAGATGGGGCCGCTCCCTCCTCCCTGCAGGCCCCTTCTCGGGACGCAAGCGGGCTTCTCTGGCTCAGGCTCGTCCGTGGGTCTTCCTGCTGCTGCTGTTCGTGGAGGTCCCGGGGACTGAACCAAGGCCCTCGTGCTGCTAAGTGGGCGCTCTGCCGCTGAGCTCCACCCTCCCCGCCACAGGTCTTAGTCATGACGGCTCCATCTGGTGGCACATCCTCCCCGAGCCTCGTCCTACGAGCCTCGTGCAGCAGCTCCTGGGACGCGTGGTCAGGCCCGGGTCCCCGGAGGAGCCGGGCATCGCTCCCTGACAGTGCTCCCGTCTGCCCCGCTGCAGGTCCCTCTCCAGACGGTGCGCGGGGGCCTCTGGCCTTGGCCTCAGTGTGTGCCAGGGTTGACCCAGGATGCAGGGTGTGGAACCAAAGCTTTCACGCGGTGTGGCTTGTCGGCAGCCCAGGGACGGCCGGTAGTGCCCGGTAAGCACACAGAACGGGGCTGGGGAGGCGGGAGGAGAGGAAGGCTCGGGGAGCCTGGGATGGGCGGCGGCAGAGGTGCTCAGGCTAAAGGCCCTGAGGGCACAGGGCGGACACTGACAGGGCCCAGACGCTGGGGTCTCACATCAACGTCTGCAGAGGACAGACTACCTAAACTGACCCGTGAGCAGTGCCTGGTTGATTGGCATCAAGAACAAAAGCAGACCCCCAAACCAGTTCTTACGTGCAAAGCAAGCTGATTTTTGTTTCTGAGTGTTAAAAGCAGTCCCTAAAAACTGAATCAAATTTAAAGCATGGATTAATAAATTGCTCTCGGAAGCATTTAAGTGAATGCATTTTCGACCAAGGAGATATTAAATGCATGTCGTGCAGACACAGGACAGTCCGGAGGCCACAGGGCCTGCTCGTCACGGCGTCTGACTCAGCTGACGCTGACCATGGGTGCTGGTGCACGTCCCCATTTGGGCACAGAAGTGAATTCCTGCTAAAACCCCAGGGTGGACAATGTGTGGAAAATTCACTTGCTCATTCTAAGAACAACGAAGGTCAGCTGCAAAGTAAGCCCTGCTCCAGGCCCATCGCAGCTGAACTGCAGAGGTGAGGTGCGACACCCGGGGCAGCTGCGGAAAGTCTGCCGACAGTCGCCATGCAGGTGTCGTGACTGGGCACCCAGCCCTGTGCACGCAGCTGTCCCTCCCACCTCCGCAGTGGCCTCGGGCCCTACAGCGGCCTCCGAGCAGAAGGCACGGGACGCCTCGCTCTGCCCCGTGCTGTGCGGCGAGAACACGGGCCCGGCCCGCAGCCGCGACGCGGGCAGGCCAGGGAAGGCTGTCGGAGCGCAGCCCTGACTAGTCCCGGCCCTGGAGGGTGCTGGGCTCTGCCCTGGGTTCTCAGGAGTCTGGACCACTTTGCTTGCACCGATCAAGACAAGGACACTTAATGCAGGCCAGCTGTCACCTTGTGATTAAAAACGAAGAACCGCAGTTCTTATATAAAAAGAGGTTTATTGAGCTGTTAGAATCATGTCATCATCGGACGGGACTGGACGTTAAACCACATGGGCTGCAGGTGTGAGCTGGGGACCTGCCTGGGGAGCTCCGGCGGGACTTCCACACGCAGCCGGGACGGCCAGTTTGCTTGCCGGCCTTTGTGCTTTGAGACGCTTCTCCGCTCGGAGGTGGTGACGGCAGTGTTCAGAAGTCGCGCTCGGGGCTCCCGGGACCGG